TAGCTGACTTAGCCACCCATGTGCCCCTCCTTTATTTTTTTTATTAATGGCTGAATAGTATTCCTGTATATGTGTGTGTATCACATTTTCTGTATCCGTTCATCCATTGGAGGATACTTAATTTGTGTCTATGTGTTGCCTATTGTAAATGATGCCTCAGTGAACATGGAGGTCCCAGTATATTTCCAAATAGATATTTTCATTTCTTTTGATTACATGCCCAGAAGTGGAATAGCTGGATCACATGGTAGTTTTATTTTGTTTTGTTTTATTTTTTGAGGAAGTTTTATACTATTTTCTGTAGTAAGTTCACCAATTTATATTTCTCACTAACAGTGGACAAGAGTTCCCTTTTCACCACATTGTTGCTAACACTTGTTATGTTTTGTGTTTTTGATAATAGCCATTCTGACAGATGTGAGGCAATATCCCATTAGGTTTTAATTTGCATTTCCCTGATGATCAGTGATTTTGAACATGTTTTCATGTACCTGTTTTCCATTTTTATGTCTTTTTTGGAGAAATGTCTACTTTCAGATCCTTTACTTATTTTTAATTCAGATTATTTGGGGTTTTTTTGCTATTGAGTTGTAGTTCTTTATATTTTGGTTATTAAACCCTTATCAGATACATGATTTACAAAAATTTCCTCCATGTAGGTTGCCTTTTATTTTTGTTGGTGGTTTCCTTTGCTGTGCAGATTTTTAATTTGATGTAGTCCCATATGTTTAGTCCCATATGTTTATTTTTGCTTTTCTTGCCTTTGCTCTTTTGGTATCAAATCCAAAAAGTTATTGCCAAGTATCTTTAGCACTTATGATTTCCTCTAGAAGTTTTGTAATTTCAGAATTTATATTCAAGTCTTTAATCCATTTTGAGTTTATTTTTATGTATGATATAAGATAGTGGTACAATTTGATTCTCTTCCATGTGGCTGTTCAGTGTTCCCAACATCATTTATTGAAGAGACTCTCCTTCATAGTATATTCTTGGCTCTTTTGTCATAAGTTAATTGACCATGTATGTGTGGGACCCTATTCTGTTTTACTGATCTATGTGCCATTTTTATGGCAATATCATACTGTTTTGATTACTATAGCTTTGTAATGTGGTTTGGAATGAGGACATGTAATGTCTCCAGCTTTCTTTTTTTTTTTTTTTAAGATTTTTATTTATTTATTCACGGGAGACACACACACACAGAGACAGAGACACAGGTAGAGGCAGAAGATGGAGTCCTATGTGGGACTCCATCCCAGGTCTCCAGGATCATGCCCTGGGCTGAAGGCGGCGCTAAACCGCTGAGCCACCGGGGCTGCCCACCAGCTTTGTTTCTTTTTCTCAAAATTGCTCTAGCTATTTGAGGTCTTTTTGATGGTTTCATTATAAATTTTAGGATTATTTGTTATATTTCTCTGAAAAATTCCATTGGGATTCAAAGGATTACATTGAATCTGTTGATTGCTTTGAGTAGTATGGACATTTTACCAATGTTAATTCTTCCATTCCTTAAGCATGGAATATCTTTTCATTTTTTGTGTCTTAGGTTTCTTTCATCAGCATATTATAATTTTCGTATACAATTCTTTTCCCTCCTTGGTTAAAGATAGACTATTGATAAATAATGTTGGATAGCTAGGTAGCCATTCTGGAAAAGATAAAGCCCAATCTATATCTCATCTACCATATAGGATAAACTCCAATTAATTTTTTTTAAATTTCTATTTATTTATGACAGTCACAGAGAGAGAGAGAGGCAGAGACATAGGCAGAGGGAGAAGCAGGCTCCATGCACCGGGAGCCCGACATGGGATTCGATCCTGGGTCTCCAGGATCACGCCCTGGGCCAAAGACAGGCGCCAAACTGCTGCGCCACCCAGGGATCCCTAAACTCCAATTAAATTGAATGATTTAAGTTTTAAAAATGCAATCATGACATTACTGGACTAAAACATGGAAGTACTTCTTCATAACTTTGATGTGAGGAAGGACTTTCTAACTAGGACTCAAAATTGTAGGAACTAAAAGAGAAAGTATTTAATAATTTGATTACATAAAAATAAAAAGCTTCTGCATGACAAGAAACTAGTAAGCAAAGTCAGAAGAGAAATGTCAAAATGTAGAAAGTATTTACAATTCATATAGAGGCACTGAACTTATCAGATTTATAAAGACTAAGAAATTTAAGAAGGAGACTGATAGCCCAGTAGGAAAAGAGTCAAGGTACCTGAACAGAAATTTCAAAGAAAAATAAATATAAAAGACCCTAAAAAAGAATAATACTTAACTCATAATTCAGGAAATACCAATTAAAATTCTGACATATGATTTCTTTATCATATTAAATTGATAGAAACAAAATGTTTTAACAAAATGCCTTAGGGGATCCCTGGGTGGCCCAGTGGTTTAGCGCCTGCCTTCAGCCCAGGGCGCGATCCTGGAGTCCCGGGATCAAGTCCCACATCGAGCTCCCTGCATGGAGCCTGCTTCTCCCTCTGCCTGTCTCTGCTCTCTCTCTCTCTCTCTCTCATAAATAAATAAATAAATAAATAAATAAATAAATAAATAAAATCTTTTAAAAAAATGCTTTGCTGCCTTGGCTGTGAAGAAATGGATACTCTCATATATTGCTGCATCTGACAAAATTGTCCAGTTGCTATAGAGGGCAGCTTGACACCATCTACTAAAATGACCAATGCATTTTCCATTCTGACCTAACAACCTGATTTCTGAGACTTTCTGTTACAGATATGCCTTTATGTATATAAAATAACGTATTTACAAGAGTATTCATTGCACCATTGTTTGTTAGAGCAGAAGATTGTAAACAACCAAGTGTCTGTGTATAGACATCTAGTTAAATAAGCTATGATAAATTTTTAAAAATTTTTTAAAATTATTTTTAAAAAATAATATGTACCTATAGAAAAATAAGGAAACCATTAATCTTAGAATTTAAAAATCAGGATGTGAGGGCGATCTGGCTGCGACATCTGTCACCCCATTGATCGCCAGGGTTGATTCGGCTGATCTGGCTGGCTAGGCGGGTGTCCCCTTCCTCCCTCACCGCTCCATGTGCGTCCCTCCCGAAGCTGCGCGCTCGGTCGAAGAGGACAACCATCCCCGATAGAGGAGGACCGTTCTTCGGTCAAGGGTATACGAGTAGCTGCGCTCCCCTGCTAGAACCTCCAAACAAGCTCTCAAGAATTTAAAAATCAAACACAGAACAGTGTATATATTATAGTATGTTACCTTTTGTGTAAAGGTTTTAAAAAATAATACGTATGTGTATTTGTATTTGCTTAAAAACATTGCAAAGCCATACAAAGGAACTTATAAAATTGCTTATCTAAAACAGGTGAGGAGGTGGGAGACAAAATGGAAAGGACAAAGGTAGCAGTAAGACATCTGAATGTTTCTCTTTTTTGTTCTGAGCCATTTAAGAAAGGAAAATAAAATATAAAAATAAAAAATTGTCTTTAAGGTTAGTGATTTTCTCTAGTCATATTTGGCTACACAGATACTGTAATAGAGGAGGAAGAGAGATTTATCTAAGATTCAAGCTTTCCTAAGCAAGTGTGAAAAGGAAGTTCACATTAGGAGCCATTATGAAGTTGGATGATTAGTTGATACAGAGTTTAAATTGGGTAGGAAGGGGAGAAGAGGTATGAATGTGGTAAGTGACAATGTAAAGGTGACCAGAGAAGGATATTTTGGAGATGTTGAAGTTACTATTAATGACGAGGTGTAGGGTAGTGATATAAAGAGTGAACTGGAGTGGAAGACACATCATCACTGACAATTAAGATAGAAGTCATATTGGAGTTAGTGGCACTGAGCCAGGAGCTAAAATTCCTGAGGGGGAAAAATCTGGATGTTACTACATCACTGCAGTAGGTAAAGATAATCACATATTGTCTGATGAAATGATGACATTAGATTTTAGATAAGAAGGGACAGTTGTTGGCACCAGCAATGAGAAGAGAGGACACAATGAGATTGCGGACAGAGTAAGGTTATAGGAGAAAAACCAGCCATCCAGTTGAGATGTCCTCACAGGAAATGGTGTTGTTAGGGAAAAATGGGTAATTGAATCATACACGGGAAATCTTTGAACTTTTCCACAATTTTAATCTTTCTAAATAGACGTTTTGGGAATTGATGTAGGGTGTTCTTACTGGGTGGAGAGGCATTTTTATAATCGCTTCAGAAGTCACATAGTCATTTCTGCTATACTTTATAAGTTGGGTAAGTCACAACTGTTTTCCCAAGATCAGGTTCAAGGGCAGAGGACATAGACCTTACAACAATGGTATGAGAGCATGTCAAGGTTACACTGAAGAAGAAAATATGGGATGGGAGTTGTTCTATCTATCCTTGGAAAATACAATCTGCACTGGATATTAACTAAAGAATTTGCATGAGAAGTAAATATGCATATGATGAAGAAAAATCTTTGAGTCCTTTTTCTCAAGATGGAGGTTTTCATAAGACATTCTGGAAACATTAAAAAAATTTCCAACTAGTTAATTGGGAGCCTCTACTTAATTTTTTAAATTTCTAGATGACTGATTAACAGTTTTCCGTCCTATGCCAGAGGATGTGTCTGCAAAAATTGAATTTTTAAAAAAGATTTTATTTATTTATTCATGAGAAATACAGAGAGGAGAGAGAGAAAGAGGCAGAGACAGGCAGAGGGAGAAGTAGGCTCCAGATGTGGACTCAATCCTGGGTCTCCAGGATCACGCCCTGGGCCGAAGGCAGCGCTAAACTGCTGAGCCACCTGGGCTTCCCCAAAAATTGAATTTTTGAGAGCATGTAGGCACTCTGCTTCATTTCCACTAAATTGCTTTTAGTCACAAGCTTCCAACCTTTGCCTGTATACTCACTATATACTATATATACTATCATTTTCCTGCATGCTTTCTTTTAGCACCTCTTCTTCCTTTTGAAAAATGTTCTTATAATTTCAAAAATAGTACTGTGATTTATCATTTTAGGGGTTGGTGATGTTCAAAGATGTGGCTATAGATGTCTCTCAGGAAGAATGGGAATGCTTGAACCCTACGCAGAGGAATTTGTACAAAGATGTGATGCTGGAGAACTATAGCAACTTGGTTTCACTGGGTAAAGTTATCTGCCTCGTATAGTGTGGAATCTGTTTCTTTGAATTTCTGCTTTCTTTACCATGAATTTTAGGGCTGTCTTTCAAATAACTAGATGAGTTTTTCTTTGTGTAGAAATGAGCACACCTAGATGGGGGTGCATTTTCATTTTCCCTATCCATATTCCTTCCTCTGGTCCTTTTTTTTTTTTTTTTTTTAAGATTTTATTTATTTATTCATGAGAGACACAGGCAGAGGGAGAAGCAGGCTCCATACAGGGAGCCTGATGTGGGACTCGACCCCGGGTCTCCAGGATCACACCCTGGGCTGAAGGCAGTGCTAACACTGAGCCACCAGGGCTGCCCACCTCTGGTCCTTATCATTGATGTTCTTCCTTGAAGATTAAAGAACAGAATTGGAATTCCCTGCCATGAAAGCTTATGCTTAATAACTTAATTATTTAATACTAATGCTAATTTTTAAGTTATCAATTAGTTAATGATGAAAGAAACCACTTTATCTTTTGTTTCATTTGTACTCTGCTAAACCTGCAGGTGCACTAGTGTAGGTTCAAACTAAACACGTGGATCCTGGGTGTGAAACTTTTTAGCTTTCCCAATGTAATGATGACCTGGATCAAGAAATATCACTTACTATTTAGTGCTCAAATGAACACTATTCTATTTCCTATAACAAATGTGCTGTTTTAAACAATTTGAGAGTTACATTCTAAGAACTTTTCATTTAACATTGAAAAATATCTGAAATAAGTATACTCAGGAAGTTGTTTTTTCCTTATAGCAAAGTAGGGACAGAAAACTTATCTAATTTAAATAGTATTTTATGACCTATTTATTTGCTTTGTTTTTTTATCATGAATTTACCTGAATATGAGTGTTTACTTTTTTTTATTCTTTAGTTTTTAGCAAATACCATTTTGTGCTATAGTTTATTATTTTATCAATTCTGAATCACAGCATTTGGGTACTTTGATTTCCACTTGTCTCCATTTCTTTTCTTACAACCAGGACTTTCTATATCTAAGCCGGCTGTGATCTCTTCATTAGAGCAAGGGAAGGAGCCCTGGATGGTTGAGAGGGAAGTGACAGGAGGATGGTGCACAGGTGAGTGAGTAATGATCAGGAAGCAGGAAGCTATTTCAAGGAGTAGGCCAATTGGTCAGAATGTTGAACAGTAAGGCTATTTTAGACAAATGAGGGAAAACCTAATTTCAAAACTAATTACACTATATAATCAAACATAAAGACAGACATATAGATTAGAGGAATAGAATAAAGGCGCCTAAATGACTCAATCAGTTAAATGTCTGACTCTTGATTTCAGCTCAGGTCATGATCTCAGGGTTGTGAGATCAAGCCCCATATGGAGCTCCATGCTCAGCATGACATCTGATTGAGATTCTTTCTCTCTTTCTCTCCCTCTGCCCTTCCCCTCACTTGCATACTCTTTCTCTCTCTAAATAAATAAATAAAATCTTAAGAAAAAAAGTGGAATAGAATAGAAAGTCTGGAATTAAACCCTCAGATATATGACCAAATGATTTTAGATAAGGGTTCCAAGACCATTCAGTGGGGCAAAGTACTGTATCCTTAACAAATGGTGTAGGGAAAACTGGATATCCATATGTAAAAGAATAAAGTTGGATCCTTACTTACACCATATACAAAAATTAACTCAAAACAGATTAAAGAACTAAATTTAAGACCTAAAACTAGAAGAAAACAGGGAAAAAGTATCAGGACATTAGATTTGGCAGTGATTTCTCAGATATAAGGTACAGGTAACCAAAGCAAAAATAGACAAATGGGAGTACACTAAACTTAAAATCTTCAATTCATCAAAGGACACAATGAAAAGAGTGTTTATTAATCTTTAAAAAAATTCCCACAAGGTTCTTTACTAGCTGACAGGAATACCCTTTTTTTTTTTTTTTTTTTTTTTTTTTTTTATTTACGATAGTCACACAGAATGAGAGAGAGAGGCAGAGACACAGGCAGAGGGAGAAGCAGGCTCCATGCACAGGGAGCCCGACGTGGGATTCGATCCCGGGTCTCCAGGATCGCGCCCTGGGCCAAAGGCAGGCGCTAAACCACTGCGCCACCCAGGGATCCCAGGAATACCCTTTTTTAAGTGTTATAGTAGTAGATCAAGAACATATGTTCTAATGGTGTAGTATAAATAGTTGCCAGACTACTCAGATGACCTATTTCATATTGGCTGAGTTTTGGTAGTTTCAGATTTTCAAGGAGTTGGGTCCATTTCTTCTAAGTTTTCGGGGTTATGAATGTAAAGTTCTATGCGGTTTCTTATTATCCTTATAATTCATTATATATATCCATATATATAAAGGATATATACATGTCCTCATAATCCTTACAAATTTTTTCTTGTTGAGACTTTCTCTTTCACCCATGAATTATTTAGAAGTGTGTTATTTGGAGATGTCTAGGGATTTTCCTATTGCCTTTCTTTTATTGATTTATAATTTTTTTTTTTTTTAATTTTTATTTATTTATGATAGTCACACAGAGAGAGAGAGAGAGGCAGAGACACAGGCAGAGGGAGAAGCAGGCTCCATGCACCGGGAGCCCGATGTGGGATTCGATCCAGGGTCTCCAGGATCGCGCCCTGGGCCAAAGGCAGGCGCCAAACCGCTGCGCCACCCAGGGATCCCTGATTTATAATTTGATTCCATTATGGCCCATGTAAAAGAGGGAACAGTCCACAGTCTTCTCTTATTTTTTACCCAATAGCAGTTTCAGAGGTTCCCAAGAACATCCTTAGATAATTCACTAAAGGACTCATAGAGCTTACTGAAAGCTGTCATCCTTACGGTTATAGTTTATTATAGTAAAAGGATACAGATTAAAATCAGCCAAGGGAAGAAACACATGGGCAGACCCCAGAAGGTTTCCAGACATGGAGCTTCCAGTTGGACTCACCCAGTGGAGTCATGAACAGTGCTAATTTTTCCTATCAACTGTGTGTAACTATATGCATGTAGTATTGCCAAACTAACCTGAATCTTGGTGTCCAGAACAAAAGTTGGGCTCTGGGTTGGCTTGCCCATGTGGTTGGCCTTTAGTTTCCAGCTTCTCAGGAGGTGAAGCTGACACCTTTGGATTCCTGTCTTTCTGGAGGAGAATTGGTACCATGTGGCTCAAAGTCTATATCATAAATCCCATTGTTAGTTGTGGTCCTAAACAAAGACATTATTTGTGGAGATTTTCTCCCTGGAGATGAAGACAAAGCCAGATCTCTCTTTGGGCAAGCCTAAATTCTTTACTATACATCATACACTGTAATTTTGATTCTTTTATTTCTTTTTCATTTTTCATTTTTTTGATTTTGATTCTTCTATATTTAAGATTTGCTTCATGACTTAGAATGCGGTCTGTCTTGGGGAATGTTCATTGTATGCTTGAAAACATTGTGTATTCTGCTGTTGTTGGGTGACATGTTCCATAAATGTTGATTACATCCTATTATTGATAGTCTTGTTCAGTTCTTCTATGTCCTTGCTGATTTTCTGTCTGGTAGTTCTATCAGTTGCTGAAGGTAAGGTATTTGAATCCCCAGGTATAAAAGTGCTTTGTTTCTTTCTCCTTGTAGCTATCCCAGTTTTTGCTTATGTATTTTGAAGTTCTGTCAATGGTGGTTATTAGTTTTCTTTATTCTGAAGTTTATTTTATCTGATATTAATATAGCTATTTCTACTTTCTTTTTTAAATTTCTGCTCTTTTTTTAAAGATATTTATTTATTCATTCATTCATTCATTCATTCATTCATAGAGACAGAGAGAGAGAGAGAGGCAGAGACACAGGCAGAGGGGGAAGCAGGCATCATACAGACAGCCTGACGTGGGACTCGATCCAGGGTCTCCAGGATCACGCTCTGGGCTGCAGGCGGCGCTAAACCGCTGCACCACCAGGGCTGCCCAATTTCTGCTCTTTTGATTAATGTGTACATGCTATGTATTTTTCCACTCCTGCTTTAAACCCTCTATGTCGTGTTTGAAATGAGATTTTTATAGTCACCATGTTGGACCATGTTATTTGTCCATTGTGCCAATGTCTGTCTTTTAATTGTGATTTAGACCATTTACCTCTAAAATAATTACTGAAAAAAATTAGTGATATGTTAAGGCTTCAATGTGCCATTTTGTTATTTTCTTCTGTTTCTTGTTCTTCTGTTTGTTTTTTCTTGCCTACCTGTGGGTTACTTAAACATTATTAGAGTGCCATTTTGATTTATGTTTTTTAATACGTTGCTTTTGTATTTTTATTTTTATTGTTTGCTCTAAGTATTAGCATATATATACATACTTATCACAGCCTGCTGGTTTTTATTTTTTACCACTTCAAGTAAAATGTAGAAACTTTACATCCATTTAGATCGCTTTACTCTCCCCACTTTTTTGGTATATTTGTTTTAAGTATTTCTTCTACATACATCGAAGATCACTACAAGAGATAGTGTTAAAATTTTTGCTTTACCATTAAATAGGACTAAAGAAACTCATGGTGTAAAAGATAGCATCGTATGTTTTCTTCTATTTTGTTCATTCTATTATTCTTTCCTATCTGAAGGTCTAAGCCTTCTTCTGTTATTTTCTTTGTGTGGGGCGAGCTTCCTTTACCCATGCTTTAAGGGCATGTGTGCAACAATAAATTCTCTTAGTTTTCCTTTGTCCTTTATTTCTGCTTCATTCCTTAAGAACAGGTTCAATGGAGGAGTGGCTGGGTGGTGCAGTCAGTTGACTGTTTGACTCTTGGTTTCAGCTCAGATTAATCTTGGGGTTGTGAGATTGAGCCCCACATCAAGCTCCAAGCTCAGCTCAGAGTCTGCTTGAGTTTTTCTCTCCCTCTCCCTCTGCCTCTCCCCCACCCCACGTACTCTCTCCTTCTCTAAAATAAGTAAGTAAATCTTTTAAAAATCAGAATAGTTTGAATGGGTATAGAATTTGAAGTTCACAGTTCTTTTCTTTTAGAACTTGAAAACTGTTGTGCTGTTTCATTTTGGTCTCCATAGTTTCAAATGAGAAATCCAGTCTTTTGAATTGGTGTTTATCATCAATATATAATGTATGTTTCTATTTAAAAATGTTTTTCTTTGTCTAGTTTTTAGAAATGGGTGTCTTTGTTTTGTTTTGTTTGTTTTTGGATTTTTCTTAATAGTTATTTGCTAAGTTGCTTGAATTTATAGATTTGTCTTGTATGCAATTTTGGAAGTTCAACTGTTACTTCTTTGAATACTTTTTTCAGCCCCACAGTCTTTTTCCTATCCTTCTGGGAATTGGATAATATGAATGTTGGATCTTTTGTTATTGTCCCACAAGGAATGAGACTATTTTTTTCTTTAAGCCTTCTTATCTTTGTTTTTCAGATTACATAAATTCTGTCTTTAAGTTCATTGATTTCCAGCTTCTGTTATGTCTACTCTGGCTACTATTTAGCGTGTCTTTTATAACAGCCATTATATTTTTTCAATTCATTTCCTTCTTTTTGATAAGTAGTATTTTTTTACGAAATATTGTTTTTGTGGGACGCCTGGGTGGCTCAGTGGTTGAGCGCCTCCCTTTGGCCCAGGGTGTGATCCTAGAGTCCCAGAACTCCCCTACATGGAGCCTGCTTCTCCATCTGCCTGTGTCTCTGCCCCTTTCTCTGTCTCTCATGAATAAATAAAGTCTTTTTTTTTTAAAGAAATATTCTGATTTTTTATTTGTTTAAAGAGTTTGTAATTGTCAATTTTTATAAAGACTACTTTAAAAGCCTTGTCAGCTAGACCTTGGTATTGGTCTTAGTTGATTGTCTTTTCTCCTTTAGATATTGGTTTCCCCTACTCTTGGTATGACAAGTGATTTGTTGTATCCTCAACATTTTCATTTTTATGTGAAGAGAGTTTTGATTCTATTTAAATCGATTTTAGTAGGGAGTCATGCTGTTTGTTTTAGCATGTAGATCTGGTGTACTTTAATAAGTCTTGGTTCTGGGATCCCTGGGTGGTGCAGCGGTTTAGCGCCTGCCTTTGGCCCAGGGCGCGATCCTGGAGACCCGGGATCGAATCCCACATCGGGCTCCCGGTGCATGGAGCCTGCTTCTC